AGGTCTGGACGAGGAGAAATTAGGGGAAACCGATTATTTAGGTTTCTTTGGAGAAAGCAACCGGCTATAGAAGGTGACCGTCAATTGACTCACGGTCAACTGACGATTTGGACAATAATGATGGATTTTGAATATTTGAGTGACTGAAAATGATTAAGTTGAAATCATGGGTATCAAAACCGAAAAGTATGTATACTTCGGGTACCAAAAGTGAAATTTTCCCTTTATATAAATTTCATTTTTTTGCACTTATGTAAAATCTAGGGAAAATAATTTTTGCGTATAGATATGCACTACGATTTGGAGAAAAAATACCCAAATTTGATAACCTAATTTGGAACCTTCTTCCAAGTTCGGACACCGCCGTGCCGCCGTAGTATTCCACCACCAGCACCTTCCCCTCGTTTGACCTTTCGTCCAAGCCACCACCTCTACATAATGCTGCTCACCACTCTCAACCCTCATTGCTAAGTCCTTGTATGGCGGCAATTCTAATTTATCTCAAATCCTCATCCGAACCCTTTACCCCTTTCCACCTCCAATGGCCACCGACGCCCCCGCGAAATTCCAGAAGCCGGAGCTGATCCCGGTCCCGCATCACCACACGGAGCACCACCCGGAGACCTCGACCGCCGCGGCGTCGGGCCACGACGGGCTCCACTTCTGGCAGTTCATGATCGGCGGCTCGATCGCCGGCATGGCGGTGCACATGGCGATGTTCCAACATGATTAATGATTTCGATCTGGGTGGTCGCTTTTTTTTGAACAATACTAGAGATGGGTTGAGAAACTGCTCGATAACAAAAATCGGAGCAAAATTTGAGATTGCTGGGGCTGCCTTTTTCAACCTTGGACTGCCAACATGCCCTTTTTATTCTGGTATGGGCTCGACCTGACGTGATTGGAATACTGGGATGAAATCGGAGCAAAATCTGAGCTTAAGGTTGTCGGCCATATATTCGACCAATTTGGATGGCCAGGTCCATGTCGGCGTCCATATTGGCCTCCACTTCTTCTATCTCCTTCCATAAATCTGCATTCTGGCGGTTCTCGTCGCAGGTTGTCGAAAGTAAGCTTATTGTTTCTTTCTTAAAGTCCTTCAAATCGTTTTAAAGATCCTCTCATAGGACGGGCTGGTCGATTTTGTGTCCTCGTTGAGTATGGGGACGAGAGTGACAAGCAGCTACAAATAAAACAAGAAAATCCAGGATTAGAAGTTGGGAATACTCATTTCATCTGCATGACTGCCAGAGAAAGCAGATATACCTGAGTCGAAGCTACTCCGGTCGCATATGATTCTCCCTTGGACATAAAAAGTAAAAACGGGTCGGCCCGTCTTTCCCCGCCCAAGAGTTTGTGTAGTATTTTCGGGTTAAAAATGGGTCGGGTCGAACAGGAGAAAAACTGTATGGGCAAGGGTTTTGTGATTTCAAGGGAAGGGGTTTTCTCAGTTGATTTGCTTTGCTTTTACAACAGCCGCTGCCCTTTCTTCTCTGTAGAGGAAGAAAGATCCAATTTTGTGCTTCGAATTTGTATCAGCAAAGACCACACTAGCGAAAAATGGCAGCCTTTGTTCCTCCATCTCCTGCCGCGGCGAAGACCCTACCGGCGGCCAGTTCTGCCCCGACAGCCGCCGAGAAGACAAAAGTGGACTACTTGAATCTCCCCTGCCCCATTGCGTACGAAGAAATCTACCGCGAGGCCCTCAGTTAGTGTTTCTCCCGTTCGATTCTCTTTTGTGGGTTCTTTCTAGTTAATTGTTTCAATGGTTTCTGTGCATTTGCTTGAACTGTCGTTCTTATTTACGTGGAAGGCAGCCTTCTTGATTGGTTAATTGGAGCCTAAAGCTTGATTTTGTTTATCAGTATTGGTATCTCTTTTGGCGTTTGTGGGTGTATTCTGCTGTAAAACCCTACTTGAAGTAAATTTATTTTGGAAGAATCTGTTGAACCCATTATGCTTCTGTTTCACTATGTAAAGACTGGTCACATTTTTGATAATCCGCGGAAGCTAGCAAAGTATCCCCAGATTGTATGATTTTGCATGATCATCCTTACATGTTCAGTTTAGTTCTAGAATTCTTTTTACTTTCTGCTCAATAGAATTAAATAGAATTATAGAATGATGAAGTTCAACCTGAAAAATATAACCCCAAACTCCGCCATTTACGTTAAATCCATTTGCTATAGGTTAAGTGAAATGATGCCAATTGCAATTTGTGTACTATTTTGGTAATGCTAGAAATTATTGTAAATAGTGCTAGTAACATTAAGTGAATTTGTTGCAGATTGCAAATATTGTACTACTTTGGTAAAGCTCGAAAACATTTTGAATAATGCTCGTAGCATTAAGTTGTTATGTATATAATTCTGTCTTGTTGATTATTACTGGCAGTGTCCCTGAAGCCAGATCTCTTTGAGGGAATGCGCTTTGACTTTACCAAAGAACTCAATCAGAAGTTTTCTCTGAGCCATAGGTGAAATATATTTTCGTTCAATATTTTTCTTTATTTTGTGATATGGAGGTATTTGTTATACCTGACTGCTGAATGGTTTTGATATTTGTTCAGTTTGATGATGGGGCCGACAGAGATTCCATCTGTCATCTGAAACAATTAAAATCCCCACTGCTCAGTATGAGTTTGGTGCTAACTTTTTAGACCCTAAGGTGGCCACATTTTCACTAATTATTTTCATTTATAACGAATTTCTTTATTTGACCATCAAGGAGTTATCTGTTCTTTGGCAGTTAGTACTTATGGGGAGAGTGATGACAGACGGGAGATTAACCGCAAGAATGAAGTGTGATTTGACTGATAATCTTGCTCTGAGGGTCAATGCTCAAGTAGGAATACACATGTCATGGAAGTTCTACAAAAGACAATTATCTAAAAGCTATTACAATATTATTGGTTCAGACACGAAATTTAACAGCTTTTCTTTTTCTGTAGCTTACAAATGAGCCACATATGTCACAAGGCATGTTCAATTTTTATTATAAGGTAATTTTGTGTTACGTAGACTTGAAGATTTCTGCATGCATGTTTGTAAGTGTGTAACCAATACATTTTGCGCATTGCTCTGCATGAGATCTGATGCTTTTAATGGAATGAAGTCTCTGCATTGGGTTGATATTAATAGCATGCTTTGTATGAATATTTACAGGGATCAGACTATAGGACTCAGTTTCAACTAGGAAATGGTGCTTTACTTGGTGCAAGTTACATCCAGGTGAGTGATCTAATACTTATTTAAAATACATTTACGTAAAATGAGAACCTTAAATTAATTATATTCTATCAAATGGCAAACAGTTGATAATTTTCAAGTCCCAGAATGGTATCTTAATGATTCAATTATCTTGATGTTTTGGTTGAGTTCACAGTTCCAGTACTTTTGACCTTTTCTCTTCCTGGTGGATATCATTCTGTGCCTTATGCAAGTAATAATCTTGAAAATTCCAGTTTTATAATTTTCAAAGGTAATCACCTTGTTTGTTTTATTCAGTTTACAAAATCTCTGTCTCTTCCTAGGTTGATGAATAGTTCGACTTAATCCAGAAAATCAGAAATGGCGAGTTTCCTGTGATGAGCAAAAGTTGTATGTTAATGGTTAATAAATTGATGAAAAAAATTAACTCATTAAAATCCAGATAGGTGTAGAAAAAGATGTATGGATAGTAGCATCGTGGACATCCACTTTGAAATGTTCTTATTCAACGTAACAAGCTTGGGAGTTATCTTTTACCCATCAAGGCAGCCAGACCAAGTAAAATCCAAGAGACAGCACGTTCTTGTTCATTCTTGCTATCTATGCAATTCTATTGAAAATGCAGGGTTATTAAGATTCCATTACGTAGCAGTCTAGAAATGGGCATATGGTTTTCCACTTTTCCTCAAATATCTCTAGCTATATTGCACTAGTAAATTACAAGAGTAGATCTTATGGGACCCTATGCTTGCAAAGAGTCATCATAGTGAATTAACGGTTGTGAAACACTGTATTATCTTTTTGGTGTATCCAGTTAATTTCTTTATGTGCACCCAAAAAAATGAAGATGCTGCCTTGATAATGGGTCGAGGATCACGAGCATCACCTGACAAAAAAGAAATTTTCCTAAAGTGGGTATCAGTATTTGTCAGTTGCTAAAATTTTAGATCGAGCATGTCAACCTTATGAACAAGTGTCTGCTATTCACTTCATGTCTCATTATCCTGATGCATTTTTCACTTGTGGTTTGCATTTAATGACAAGTACCATTTTATTACTTTTTGGACAATGTAGTTCCTTCTTGTAGATACTACTAGCATGGTCTTTATTTATTTATTTATTTATTTATAAGTACCTTCCGTTACTTCTTGGACAATGTAGAATCTTCTTGTAGATACTATTTCCATTTCTTACAAGATTGTTTCTTTTACTCTAATTAGGTAACACCAACTTGATCACGGTGCAAAATTTAGTCTATATTTTTCTGGTTGGTTAAGTTTTTAAAATTCTTCACATATTGGCATTATTTTTCCTTCATCCATGTAAATCACTATTTTTTGGCTGTTTGCCAATTAATCTTTTAAGCTCAGATCAGTCGTTCATATGAAGTAAAGTAACTATTCACCCAACGACAAATCTCGTCACCCTTTCGGTGGCTATCTGTTGTGTTGATGAATTTGAACTTGAAAAAAACCAAATGGATCTTTGCAGTTTGTACTAGTAACTGATTGCATTTATTTATTTTTACAGAGTGTGACTCCTAATTTGTCATTAGGTGGTGAAATATTCTGGGCTGGTCAACATCGGAAATCTGGCCTCGGTTATGCTGCTCGTTACAGCACTGACAAGATGGTACTTCTCTCTGGAAAGTTGTTTATTTTTTTATTTAAGTACAATATACTTTCCCTGCAAAATTTTCTTTCTACTGCAGATGTATCAATTTGGAGTTTATTTGATAAGAAATACGTAATGTAGGGTTTATGTACGGAATTAGTTGCTAATGAATAGTCTTTCCAGCATATTAAGATCCTGTTAGAAGTGATGAAGTAGAGCCGTACTGTGCATTGACATTTAATTAATTGTGTTATTGTGCGTTTTGTTCTATATATGGCCGAGCTATATATCCTTGGCACTTGACAGGTTAACTGACCCAGATGTGCATGATAGCTCATGAAATCGTGTTTCATGCTAAACATTAATGTTTCTTTCCAAATGTATCATGTTATTTATTTATTTTGGTTATTGTAAGTTATATTTTCGATGGGAGTGCATGTTTTCTGAATGCTCTAGTCGTGCATTTAATATTTTTATTTGAAAGCAAGTCCATTTAATCCACACCATCAGATATAATACCCAGTTGTTTTTAGTACAGGTTGCAGCCGGTCAAGTTGCTAGCACTGGTATGGTTGCACTAAGTTGTGTTCAAAAAGTGTCTGAAAAGGTAAACTGATTTCTAATTCGTCATTTTTTATGATTTATTTTCTTTTTTCTTTTTCCTTATGCTTTTTTATTCTATATATATATATATATATATAATGTATAGGTTTTTTAATGTATAGGTTTCTCTAGCATCAGATTTTATGTACAACGCAATGTCTAGAGATGTCACGACCAGCTTTGGATATGATTATATACTACGCCAGGTAATTTCTGTTTGGATAACTTAGAGTTTTCGTGCAGTCTCCTGATTTGTCTCGCAAGTTGTTGACTTATTATGCAAAGAATTAATTGTCATATAGATCCATTAAAATTTAATCGACCTGTTCTAGACATGTAATTTCTTACTTGTGAATTGTGATTATTCAC